TCGAACAAATCATCGATCCTCGGCAAAGGATAACGGTTCTTAACCGTTAACTTATTCAGCTCTCGATAATCTATGCACATTCGGTGCGAACCATCCTTTTTCTTCCCCACAGCGAGCTGCTCGGCCATATAAACCCCTTCCCTAGTAGCTCCTGAAGCTGCAAGGATAACTCCTGCATCTCTGGAGGTGCAAGGCGATAGGGCGCCATGGCGATAGGTGCTACCCCCAGAATCAAATCAATACGAAACTCCACCTGCCTCTCGGGAGGCACACCCGGTAACTCCTCAGGGAAAACATCTGGGAATTCACACACTATCGGGACCTCCTCAACTGCACTCAGTCTCCCTGCACCAACCCTCGTATCCATCACATACGCTACAAAACCACTACAACCCTGCTGTAGACTTTGCCTCACTCTAGCAGCCGAACAAAACGCTGAATCAGGATGGGTACCCTTGCCGTACACAGTAAGAACTCCCCCACTTGGGTCTCATATAGTCACCAGCTGTCGCTTGCAGTCGATAATTGCTCCAAATCTGCTCAACCAATCCAGGCCTACGATGACACAGACGTCCAACATTGCAATCGGGACCAAATCAATAGGAAACTCTACACCGAAAATCTCAAGTACACATCCTCGAATCACCTCCGTGGCATATACTACTCTCTCATCGGCGATGGAAACTCTCAGAGGTCGACTCAACGCCTCTCGACTAATGCTGATGTGCCGACTGAAAGCCAATGATATAAAAGATCGACTCGCACCCGAGTCAAATAACACCAAAGCAGGTACAAAATTCACAAGAAAAGTACCTACGCATATCATAATATAAGCATAAAATCTTAAACATTAAATAATTACATGAAAGAATACATACCAGCCACAACATCGGGTGCTGCGCGGACCTCCTCCGCGGTTAACTGGAAGGCTCTCCCTCGTCCTTTGGTACCTCGGCCTTCACTGGCCGGCTCTCAGTAGATCTGATAGCAACAGGGGCAGATCCATGTGGTGCTCCCTGGTTAGTCCCTCGCAATAGCGGACACTCTGCCTTCCGGTGTCCGGTCTGGTTGCAGTGAAAACACACTGCAAACCCCTTTGGGTAGTCTTTGGCTATATGCCCCTCCTTGCCACACTTGTAGCAAGATCCCGCTCTACAAACTCCATCATGACCCTTGCCGCACTTCCCACAAGTGCGTCCCTTCTGGCTCCCTGCCCTGGAATCAGCGGGCTTGGCCCTTCTGGCTGCCGGCTGAGACTGTGCCGGTCGCCGATTCCTCCCTGAGACTCCGCCTCCTCCCTCGCCTGAGTCTCTAGCTCGATCTCCCTCTTTCGAGCATTTTCCTGAAGCTCGACAAACGTCCGGTATGAGGAGTTTGACACGAACTCCTGAATGTCTCTCCTCAAAATACTCAAATAACGACTCATTCGTGCCTGCTCAGTAGACACGTGTTCAAGGCAGAACATTGCCCTCTCATGAAACATCCTAGTAATAGCCGTAACAAACTCCGTACCCTGCTTGAGGGTCAAAAACTCCTGTGCCAACCGATCTCGTTCCACCGAGGGAACGTACTCATCACGAAACATGGTGGTGAACCTCTCCCAGGTCACCGCAACAAGCTCTGCTGGAGAATAGTGTGCTGTCGCGAACTTCCACTAGTCATTCACCCCTAGGCGAAGCTGGTTCAGCGCAAACCAAACCCTCAAGTGCTCCGGACATGAGCAAGTATAGAAACATCCCTCAATGTTAGATACCCATCTCATTGCTGCAATCGGATCCTGCGTCCCATCAAACTCTGGTGGCTTCGTGTTGCTGAACTCCCTGAACAACAACGAGTCACCCCCTTGCGGCCTAGCAGCAGCGACGGCTGCAGTGGCCGCTGCGACAGCAGCCTCAGAAAGAGCGGCATAACGCTCGTCAAAAGTCTCAATCAGCGTGGTCTTAATAGACCCGAACATCTCTAGTATCTCTGCCCTGATGGCTGCAACCACCTCCTCATGGATGATCCGGCGGATCTCCTCATTACTAGTCTCGCTGCTTTCTAGCATAAGTCGTGTCCTCACCATGATCTACCTCTGAAATACAACATACGATATATTAGAAATTCATTCGAGCATACTCGCACTCGATAACGCATCCCTCCTTGATCTCTGGCATCCCGAAGATTCTTACTTGAATTGTACACCGCCCTGGTGTTTTCAGTAATACGGGCCCAATACTACTGTCCGCACTGTATCAGTGTACACCCCAAGTCCTCCTCTTAGGATCCCAATTCCCAAGTACTCTATTATGCATAATCCACTCTCTATAGATCTCTCATAGCTCCTCACTGCTACCTACTCACTCTTAAGCATCTCATAGCAGCTCACTTTCCCCTAGGCTAAGGCATCACAAATCAGGCCACCCTAGTCCTAATAGGAATGCCTAGCCCGTTCTAGCAAGAGAATACATCATATCAATCTCATAACATATAACATAAGGGTATTTTGGGAAATCACCGTTCGGGCGCTGACTGATCGTACACACGTCTCTGCTCTGTGTTTGTCAAAAAAATCTTTTACTTCTTTTAGAAAACTTGGTTCTCTTTTGAAAATATTTTCCAAATCCTCACTTTGAGTTCAAATAATCCCGAAGGTGTACCCGAATCCCTCAAACCAAGGCTCTGATACCAACTTGTAACACCGTAAATTTCCAAAACAATTTTTCGCATTTATAAAAACATAATTCATTTGTAAATCATAAAAAACATCATTGTTTGAAACTCAATCTATAACATATAACAATCCCAAGATCTCATAGCATAAAAATCCCGTGTGTGTACTGATCAAGCCGACGCCTTCCCGTGATCCTCACTAGTACCTGAACCACATTAGCACAAAACACTGTAAGCACAAAGCTTAGTGAGTTCCCCAAAATACCACATATAACACATATTAGCCACTTGAGGCTATAACTCTGTGGGCCCGTGCACCCAAACTCTGTGAACCCTCAGGTTCTAACTTTGCAAGCATGCACAACATAAATCACATAGAAGAATGCAGTGCAACAACAATATATATAAAACACGGTATCACATAAATCTATTTACCTACTCAAGGTAAAGTATAGTGAGAAGACTCACCTCGCGTATCTCGATAAATATCTGTCTCGGAATAAATGTGATCTAGCCTCCGCTTAATCACACAAAGTAATACACTCATAAATACAACTGAACTCAACCCTAAAGGCCAAAAAGGTTAACTGTCAACTTTGACCGGACTCAGCGAGTGCACTAGGGCGACTCAGCGAGTCTATACGTGTCCACTGACTCCCTTGGATCCTCTCTTGACACGCCGAGTACTTCTCTGACTCGACGAGTTTCACCTGGCATAAATCGCGGGGCCACCACGACTCAACTCGACGAGTCTCAAGAACAACTCGGTGAGTTCCGGCTTGACTCAGTCTCCCCCCCCCCCTTAACTATCCCTGACTCATTGAGTCGACCCCTCAACTCGACAAGACCACTCGCTGAGTGGTTACGGGAAAACTTCATGCTACTCGCCGAGTCTGTTATTCAGACTCAGCGAGTCCATGCCATGCATAAACTCAAACTCACTTCTGAGGTCAGATTTGCCATACAATCATAGATCTGGCCTCCCCAAGCATGATAATCACGTAAAGCCCAAACCTTGGTGCTCAAACAACAACTATTTGCTCCTAAATGATGTTTTAGCCCCATATCTCATAACTCTAGGTCAAAACTTCCATGAATCCTCATAAAGCTTAAGGAATAAAGCTTCTCTGGACCTCTATGGATCCCATCTCAAGCCTCATCACAAATACAGATGAAATGGACATCAAATCTAACCAACAAAGGGCTCAAGAAACCCTAAACCCCCCATGTTCATCATAACAACAGGAAAGGGAGCCAAAATATACCTCCAAAATGATGCTCTGAACTCCAAAATCGAAGGATGTCCACCTCCCTTGCCTCCTCTTAGCTAGAATCTCCTTTGCCTTGCCAAACAAAGCTTCAAAAGTCAACAATGGCCTCTTCTCTCTCCCAAAACACTCAAAAGCTCTTTAGGGTTTCTCTCTGGGGTTGGTGGCCGCAAATGACGACCATAAGCCCCTTTAAATAGGTCTCAAACCTTGGAAATTAGGGTTTCATTAAACAGCATGGACTCGCCGAGTCCACTTTTGGACTCGCCGAGTCCAGACGCAAACCCGCACACAAGACCGCGATCCTACTCGGTAGTTTAGACTCCAACTCGCCGAGTCTCCTCACAGTCACCCAAAAATAAAAGAATAAAAATAATACCTGGGAATCCGGGGTGTTACAAAACGTGGCTCGGTCCTCAATCCTCAACCTTAAGGCCCATCAAAACTTGATCCTTGATCTTGACCTAGCAATGTAGGAAAGGTTTCTCCAACCAATAGTCGAATGTTTGAGGTATTCTCCACTCGTTATCACGCTTACCAAGTCAGAAATTGTTCCTCTGGTGCATCTCTCCAAGGCCTACTCCACTGCCAGTTATCAAAAGGGAGAAGAACTGATCTCGTTCGAGATCTTCAACCAAAAGACCCACATAACAAAATCAAGGTTCTGTCACCTCCTAGGGATTCCACAGGGTCGTGACCTTATATAACCCTGAGAACATCTCCAACTTAGCAATTCTAGAGATGTTCTACCAAATGGGATACAAGGAAACATTAGCGGTAGTTTCTAAGCTCAAAAAGCCTAACTTACTGCCGATGTGGAACGGTCTCTTCACATTGCTATTCAAGAGCTTCTTAGAAAGGGTTACCGGCTTGGACTGTGTGAGCAAATTGTTCATGACTATGATGTACGACATCTACTCTGGCATCAACTTGGATTACGGGTCAGTTCTCTGGGGCCAGTTAGTACAAAGCACTCTCTCAACAACATGACACATTGAAATATCATGTGCTCGTTTCTGGACCATCGTAGTTCAAACGGTGATTAGCAAACTCAACATTCCTGTATTGTAAGGGTCGTGTATGGCTTCCATCCATATTTTTCACACAACGAACATCATACTCACTGATACCTCAAAGTTCAGTTTCATCGACTCTATTCCTGAAGTAATGCTTCGTGATGTTCCGGCAGCGAGTGATGTACTGCGAGCCTATCGCACTTTGCCCGTCTCAGGCTTTCACCCCTTGACAAATGACATGAAAAAGGTCCTCGACAAGGAGGACAAATACAATTAGGGAGGCAAGAAGAAGGGTACGCAAGTTAGTTTATCTGAACCATCCCCATCTCCAAAAAGGGTGGGAAATGAAAACCTGATGTCGAACCTTCCGCACCAAATCAAGATCGTAAAAGGAAAAGAGTCAAGAAAGTGGCTCGTCGACCACGAACTCTGACACCAAGAGATCACAAGGACTCACAATCACAAACAGGTTCATATGTTCCAATTCAAAAGGAAGTTCACAACGAAGAAGATGTTATGTCTCAATCGAAGGTTTCGAGATTCCTACCTCCATTCTTGTTACAAATGAATTCTTAGAAGACCTTTCTGTCCCTTCACCCACTGCCACTGTCTCAACCCCAATCACCATTTCTCCATGCTCTCCAGCTTCCTTGGGCGTTTCGCAAGCCCAAACCCCACTTTTCACATATTCCAGCGCCACAACCACTACCTCAACTGTTGATCCTCCAGTGACTGTCAACACATCTGATGTGTGGGCAGGTGCTTCGGGATTCACATTTGGTCATTTTACTCCACCTATCTCTCATTTCCCCCAATATAATCCAGACATGATATATGGTGGTGATGATGACAACTTCGTAGGATTCACCTGTAGTCCATTCAACATTCAGACTGAAAGTGGTGAAGAAGCTCCTGTTACAAGAGGGCAACTCAAAGATATCAATGAGAAACTGGATTCATTGCTCCAATCATCTAGAACATCATCCAGTGCAGACTATTCACAAGCAACGATCAAGTCCTTCCTCGAGATCCTTACGAAAGAACACTCCACTAATCTGGAGAAAACAAACAAAGCTGTGGATGCTTTTGTTTCTGTATACAACGAGACGAGAAAAAAAGTAGATAAACTAATTAGAAATGCTCGTTTGTTCATGTTGGAATAGGTCTTTAAGCCCATAAATACAATTGGTATGTAGTTGACCCGAGAGTAGCATGGTCCATTTGGGTTGCATATCACCATGACAATTTGATAGGATGGACTTTTGAGAAGAGGTTATTTATGATTTGTTAATATATTATAAGTTCTAATATATTAACACGAAATAATATTATTTAATTAGTATTGATGAAGAATTAATTTGGAATTAATTTAGTGATCAAAAGAGACTAATTAAATTTAAGGGGATTGCTTGGTAAATCATTCATTCTTATGGTGTGGGCTAATGATCCATGATTCTTTAGGTTGGGCTAAACCAATGTTACAACCCATATATGAGCCATGAGGATTTTAAACCGATGGAGCCAAAGGAATATGGAAGGTCATATACATTAGGGTTTACATGGTGTAACCCTAATCTTGACACACTATACAAGAAGCCCCTTAGCATCCAAAATGGCACACTAGTAATTCTTGGAGTTCCATGAGTCAGTTTTGGTTACAAGAATATTTCTCAAAAGTCGTCCTTTGTCCAAAGGTGTGTTGTGATTCCATTTGAGGTGCAACACTTGGTGCATTGAGTTCTTAAGGCCAAACACAACAAGTTTTACAAGCCACAACCAATAGGTAACTCATTAACTCAATTTTATGTTGTTTTATATTATTTTGTATGATAGTTGTAGGCTTAATGCTTTGGAAAAAATATTGCATGTATAATTAGAGAAAACATAGATCCAAAGCATTTAGGGTTGTATGTGCACCATAAGAAGTTGTAATATACCAAAACCCTTCAGCGGTATCAGATCCTAGGGTTAGTTTCTATTATACTTGATGCTTATTGTTTTTTAAGGCAAGAAAAATCATTTTTTTTGGAACCTGCCTGATCACCACGAGGTGGTGACCGTTCAGTGGGCAAAATTTTCAGTTTTTTGGCATGTTTTGGATTAGGATCATTACCACAAAATGTTTTTGTTCATAAAATTTGATTTTGTTGCTATGATAATGATTATCCTCATCCAAATAAAAGATAATTATCATAGTTTCAAGATTTGTTTTAGTTTATATGATAGGCTAATTTCTTGCAAATGGTTGATATAAATTATCTTGACTTATGAGTTTAATCTGGATCATAGAAAAATTATTTGATTATTGTGTTAATTGAAATATTTGATCTAAATTCCTTTTATGAATTACATAACTTGTCCACAAGTTATGAAAAATGAAAAAATTTTCATAAATGTTTTTTATGAACTCCATAACTTGTCCTCAAGTTATGGAATTTCAAGAGTCTCATTTTAAAAGTCATCTTAAATGGTTTTAAGGTATTCCATAACTTGTCCTCAAGTTATGGAACTTGAAAAGTTTTCCCATAAAAATCTCATTAAACTCATAAGTTAGAGAAATGAAAAGTTTTGACAAGTTTCAAAACTTGCCCTCAAGTTGTGGAATTCGTAAAGTCTCACTTTTGAATACTTTAATTCCAAACCATAGAGTTTTAAGAGTTAAAATTTTACTCTTATACTTTATATTATTATAAGTTTAATAATTATATATATATATATATATATATATATATATATATATATATATATATATATATATATATATAAGACAAAGTCATTCTTACCGTTAGTAGGTCTCATTCACGAAGTTGGTCTATAAGGGGGGGTATAAGGTTACTGCCTATAAAATGGCAGTTTAATGGGTGTCCACTCTTACCCACCGCTTCCTTGACTGGTGGAGGGTCGTTATCCGAATGGGTAGGATAGGATATTAATTCTCATTAAAAGTATAATGAAAATACTAAGTAACTAAACACTTATAAATTCCCAATCTTAGTTACTTAGGAAAAATATGAATTTGGTGCTAACCCATGAAATTGCACTTTGCACCTTGTTAAGTCATTAGTGGAGCATGTGTGGTTAACCGACACACTAATCTGGGACTGAAAGTGCATGGTAAAGGGAAGCTTGATGTTAATCATAAATCAATGGAGCGTGTGTGGTTAACCGGAACATTGATTAGGTGGTTGTAACATTAAGTGTACCAAGCTAATTTGCATGGTTATTCACACCTTGTTTGTGATCCTCGGCATCCCAGTCAGAAACTTGAAGGGCACAATCAATATTTAAACATGCCATTGAAAATAAAATAAAAATTCATTGAATCTCAAAGGATCTAGGAATTTCAATCCATTTAAAACTTAATAATCAGTTTCGTTTTTCATGGTGGAAATTGGTAAATCGTCATTTGTATACCTTTAAATATTTTGCAATTGGATTACAGCATCCTTCTTCGAAATTGTAAAATATTGTGTTAGGTCCTAACCTTAATATTTCATTTGGGTGTTATATTAAATACTTAAATCAACTGACTTGAATTTCTCCCATTATAGATGTCTCGTTCAGACAACTATGGTATTCCCGAATCTTTTGGAAAAAGCCTTCTTTATAAAGATGATTTTCCACAAGGCGATCAAGGTGAAAGATTAATCCCTTATTCGTGATGTAGTGGAACTTCACTTCCTCCGCCTCCTACAATAATTCTCCCTAACCCACAAGTTCAAGGTCACTCAAAGCCCTATTGGAAGGAATGAAAGTTTGTATGTGCTCACGTTTTGGAGATGAAGTTACATATTGACAAGCTGGGAGAGTTGGGAGTCGATGTCTCAAAGGAATTTGGATGTTGACTTGGTTCTTCAGTGACTCCCTGAGTCGTATAGTGAGTTCATTAAAGACTACTATATAACAGATCGTGTAACGCCCGTAGATCCGGGCTAGTCAATTTAGAGATAACAGGGGTCGAAAATGAATTTTCGGAAAAATATTATTTAGAATAAATGATCTTAACCGAATTGTAGAATACGTCTCAAGGGTTTCGTACATATAAAGAATGCCGAAATCCGAGTTATAACGAAGAAGTTATGGTCCGTCGAAGTTTTAAGGCAAAACCAGCACAACACCGTGAGACGTAAATAGTGAATTTACGATGGAGGTCTTTTTAGCCTTAGTAATCTAAACAAAAGTTTTAGTATACGCTAAACCAAGAACATACAAAAAAAGAACGCCCAAATCTGACTTCGTATGAGGAAGTAATGAATTTTCTAAGATTTGGCTTAGCAGTGCACAACCTGAAACTCAAATTTTAGATTGAGCAGTTTTTGGCCTATGCGACCTAAATGAGAATTGAAGATCTCATTAATAGGAACTCAAAGGTAAAAAGACAGACAAAAACAGAGTCTGTATGTAAAAGTTATGAATTTTACGCGGATATTTAACAGTATAATCTCCTCGTACTATTAAATTTAAGATCGGTCGTGAATTAGCTGGCGGAGTCAAAATAAAAGTTGTAGATCTTATTTTTTACCTATGTTTGGATATAAAGAACATCAAAAATGGATCTCATATGTGAAGGTTACGGATTTTAGAAGTCTGAAGTGTGTTGTGCGAAAATGGGTGATGTGGCACAATCTTGGCCATTGCTTTCTCCCAAAGTCTTGCCACTAGATGGTGACATGTGGCACCATGTTTAACCATTTTTCACCCTATAAATAGAGCCTCTCCGACCCTCATTTTCTTCGCACCTTCCCATTCTTTCTTCTCTTTACTCTCTCTGTCTCTATATATATAACCTCTCTCTAGCCCAGAAACCCCCTGAAAAGACTAAGGAACCTCCCTAGCACGAGACGGAAGCCCCAGAGTGCTCGATGGCTCTGAGAAGAAGAGGTTTTCAGCTTGGGAACACTGCTCCAAGAATTAGCCGGTTTTCTAAAAACCCGCTGTAAGTGAGCTACGCCTACGTTATTTTTAATATAGCTTTTATTTAATTATAGTAACGTTATTACGAACTTATAATAAGTACTTGGACTATTATTATGGGTTATATAAGTATTGTTTAACGCTTATCTAATAATAATAATAGCTAGACTATTAATTAGTCTCGGCGAATAATAGACTATACTCTAGTGGTAATAATACTAGGTTTCGTCGAAGGAAATTATTTTTTTAAGAAGAGAAGAGCTGTCTGAGTTCGGAATCACCACCCTTTCAAGTGAGTGCATGTTCCCTTTCATTTTACACATAGATATGAAGTATTTTATATAAACTACATGCTATGTGTGCATATTATCTATGTACTTGCTATCTATGCTGGATGAACGATTTTATACAAGTTTTATATGATTTAAATTGTATATGTATTTATATCTAGGTAATATGTTGGGTAAAACATGGGTAGATGAAATATGAGTTGGATGATGAGTTGAGAGGTGATATAGACCATGAGGTAAGGGTGAGAGGTGGACGATGTGAGAAGGCTTGTTCCCAAATGCTGGCCCCATCATCTAGCAGGGTATGGATGACAACCACGGACTATTCTAGACAATCCAGTGGAACACTAGTAGGCTCGCAACCTGTAGGTGTTGTGAACGATGTGTTCACCGGTGTATTCTAAAAACCCATTGACATGTATTGCTAATGGACTCTCGAAAACGATATTGTCAATAAATGAGATAACCCTAGCAGGTGTGCTCGAAGGACAATACTGGCAGCTGCGCCTCACATAGAATGTCACAATTCTGGCTGTTGCGCCTAAGTAATAGAACTAGCAGTTGTGCTTGACAATTGTGTCATTGACAACGATGGACTTCGTACTTATTCCTAAGTATAATCCTTAGGAATGAATGAATGAGAAATAGCTGATTCTTAGGGTAGATCCTTAAGAGCAAAGAAGATAATGGAGATAAGTAATTGGGTTAACTGTTTAATGATTAAACATAATAATTATATTATTGTGGGTTGAAAACCCTATGTCCTCACCAGGTTTCCCAACCTGACCCACTCATTTTATTTATATCACAGGTGTTGATATGAAGTCACATTACACAGAGAGATTAAAGAGATATAGATCACTAGTGATAATGAATGTAAGTTCTGTTTATGCTTAAGTTCCTGTATTGATGATGACATCCCAAATGTTTTAAAATGAATAAAAATATTTTTCTTCAGA